TTGATGAAGATGAAGAAGACTGATTGAAGAGGACGAGATGCTCAACAAGTTATTTTGTGAATGTTGAAAGAGAAATTTGAATAGAGAGGGAGATGAAGTTTGAGCTAAATAAGACTCTAAGGCCCTGTTTGGTATAAGGTATTGAATTTTATGAGATTGGGATTGGGACTGGGATTGGGACTAGAATTAGAAATAAGTTTTAAAATTATGTTTAGTATAACATGAGATTAAAAAAAAGACTCAAGTTTAACCTAAAAAAATAGCTAAAAGATAATATTGCCCTCATCTTCTCCATCATCATCTTCTCTCTTGCAAGCTTCATCGGCACTGACGAATGGCAGCATGCACACACCTTATCTTACATTTTCTCATTGCTTGAGTTTCTAACAATCCAGAGCAAGGAGAATGAGAGAGAGCAAAAACCCTCACCTCCATCATTCAATCTCCATCCTTCCACCGTCCTCAACGTCATTGGTGTGGTGGGGCAAGCACATCTACTGCCGCTGGGAGATCTAGAACGAGATTACTGCCTTGCCTCTGTTTCACACTACTAATTGTTCATCCTTGCCAGTTGCTGTTAAACTCATTCTTCCATCACCGTCACTGCTAGAGTCACTGTCGTTTGCCACTGTAAGGAGTTTCATTCAGGTCACGAACTCTCCTATCTCTGCGTTGCTGTCGATCTGTGCCCCCTATCTCTGCATTGTGGCAACGCTCTTTCGTCATCTCTGCTCCTGTTTGTACTCATGTCGACGTCATTGGTAGATAATGGCTTTGTCTTTATCTTCCCTTACTCCTATTCCATCCCTATTATGCGATGATAGCCATCCTTGCGTTGCCAAAGTCATCTTCAATGGAGTGTGCAAGGTCAAGGATGATGGAGGAGATTCGTGTGAGATGATGAAGGAGTAAGCTGACTAGGCAAGTTTTTGATGAGGGCATTTCAATCATGAAAATTTCAATCCCAGTATTGAAATTGCAATACCAGGAAGGAGGTGGTATTAGGTATTCCTACCAAGATGGGATTGGGTTTAGGAATAAATTTATCATTACCACCTACCAAACATAAAAGTTTGGTATTACTCAATTCCAAACCCAGTCCCACTTAGCCAGTGCTGCGTACCAAACGAGCCCTAAGAGGTAAGAGGCTTTTTTCTAATTCAGAAGGACTTTCAAAACCAGTTACTCTAAAAATATGGTCTAGAAAGTAATTAAAATTAAAATTTTTATTAGTTTCTAGACTAATTGCAATAAAACAGGTCTTGAAAAGCATTTAAAAAATCAATTTTTAGAAAAAAGTAAATCTTTCTAAACCAGATGAAAGGATAACATCTTTAGAAGTGCATAAAAAAAATTTCCAAAAAAAAAATTTAAAACTTTACAAGCTGATTTTACACTTACCCAATTTAGAAACTACAAAAATTTATTTTTTTTTAAAAGGTCACATATTCCAAACCGATTATCATGTCAACTGGTTTAAAAAATATTATTAAGGCTGGTCCCCTTTGGAATTGGTTTAGAAAGTCTTAAAAAGACACTACTTAATTATGATAATACCACTACCTTTACTTTCTAAACCATCTCCACAATAATTAGTTTAGAAAGTGGACTTTAGATTACTATTTTTCTATTAGATAAAGTTGAAAAACTAAAGATATACTTTATTCTTAATCATAGTGAATTATTTGAAGTTAATAGTTAAGTCGGTTGTAATTTGTTTTATACCTATTTAAAGTCTTAAAGCATATCTAAAGGCCGACTTTTATTAATGGGTATTTATATAGATATGAGGCCAAGCCATGCTTTCTCATGATTGAAGTTTGAATCTAAAAGAAAGTTTAGCCAATATTAAATCTAATTAAATGAGCTAATCTCTTAAGATATAAAGAATTAAGGTCCGAATTGTCACTAGGAGAGATGCCCATACGCCAGAATTAATTATTGCTAGAGCCTCAAATAGAATCGTCCTCGTTAAAAAAAATATAAGTGGAAAAAAAAAAAAAAGTTTGACACAGACCAACAAACCAAGGCATGCTTGTCTTTTAATATTGGCCTAGTATATTTATTTCCACTCTTACTTTTATTGGTATAATTTGTTAGAATTTTTTTATATTTCATACAAGATGATTCATACCATTTCAGTATAAACAGTGCAGGTTATGTTAAAAAGTGTGTGGATTGTGATAAAAATAGTGAGGGACGGTCAAAGTATTAGTGGGAAAAGATTATCAACAAAAATGGTAAAAGAAACATGAAAGTCCAACTAGGTAAATTAAAGCTGATAACAATAATAGAAGGTCGATGAATCGCATGGATCATTTTGAGCCATTGGGCTAAACTACTGTGTTGTCGGAGGATATCTTTGTGATTATTTCTTTGTTTTGATTGGTCTTCAATCATTTTTTATTGCTTTAAGGACGAAATTAAATTAGATCGTGCCCTTCACCCACCTTTTTGTTTTAGGCGGATGTAACTGTACCTTTAACACCCGCGAAAGGGTGTTGTTTTTTCCCAATTTTTTTTTAAATTGATGTAGAAATAGTATCACCCAAGCAAATTATCTTTTTTGAAATGCAAGTGGGAAAGCTTTAAATAATGAGAGTCAAGTGAGAGTAAACCATAATATGAAAATTCAGATCATGTTAAACTAGTATTTTGAACAATTTAATAAAATATTTTGTTTATGACTGATTTAATCATTGTTTTACTATAGTTTTAACCATTACTTTTTGAACTAGTATATTAACTGGTTTAATGATCGATTCAATTTTTAATACTTATTTATCTTTTAAACAGATGCTCACACAATCAGCATGTACATGGTGTACTTGAAACTTTTCAAATATAAAAAATGATTCTTTTAACTATTTCAGTTATTTACACAATTTTTTAACAGTATTTTAGTGATGTACAAATAGTAAATTTTATAAATTTAAATTAATGTGTAACTCAAAATAAAAAATATTGAATAAGAATTTAAAAATTTTAATAACTTATATTTTATTAAAATAAAATTGTTTTCATGATAGTTTAATTTTAACAATTTATTTAAAAACTTGTGTATATTTTCTTATAATAAAAAAAAAGTAATATACCTCAAACAATCATAGTGAGAAGATCATTTAATTAGAATGATTTTTCATAAATATAATAAAAGGCATAGACCGCAGAAGAGGACCCCAAAACTTTTGATCAATTAAATAAGTGGAGCCATGAGCCATCTGTTTTTATTAATTAATATTACTATTTAAACTAGAGAATTATTATTATTATTAAATTTGAATGAATGAATGAAAGTGATAAAAATGCATTGGATGCATAGCATCTCATCTTATTCAAATGCAACTCAGGTGGCACCCATACTCCACAGTTTTGGGGTCCTCATGAAGTAACTCGACTGCTCAAAATGCAAATGCCAACCTCCTTCATCCCTCATCTCCAGATTCCTTCCATCAACCTTAATGGATAACAAAAGCTTCCCTCCTTGTGTTCTTGTGTCTGTGTGTACAAACTTCATTGATTCCTGGCATGGTATATTATGAAAACAGGTCAAACCATCTAGTTGAACAGGTAAATTATTAAACTATTATCTTGATCAATTTAATAAAATACTTTGTTTATAACTAATTTGATAACCATTTGATTATGATTATGACTATTAATCCTTAAATCAGTATCTTAACTGGTATAATAATTAATCCAATTTTTAGTATCTTGATTCCTAGACCTGATCTGCCAGGAACTCATGGGTCTCATGCCTGACCTTGAATCTCTTCACTTTTAAAGAACTGAATATTTTTTAACCAAAAAAAAAGACTAAATTGAATATTTTGCACTAAATAATGTTTACAGAGCCGTGATTTTCTGTCGCATTTAATGGCTTCATGTTGTTGAGAAATTAGTCAACTTGTTTCATGTTGTCAAAGGGATTTCTCGCTGGTTTGGCAGCACAATCCAAAATAATCCAAGACCCATCATCTTCCAACTAATAAAAAATGTGTTTATTGATGGTCTTTGCTTCTGAGAAACCTCCACCTGCCTACCAGATTATCAGTATGGAGCCACAGAAACGGAAATGAAGACGGGCACTTTGATGATGGGTTTTTATTTAATATCATAATGAGAATGGGTCCAGTTTTCGAATACAGTCATGAATAATGATACCTAGAAACAAGTGTACGACCCCACGTGGGCTTTCCCGTCCTGAAAATATATGATGTACTAATTAGGTGTCTGTCCATCATTACCTCTCTCAAATGATACACTGTCGGGTGTCGGCATTTGCCTTGGACATTTACCATTCGTGGACATGATGATCTCTTAGGCTTTGGTTTGGACTTCCTCTCACTGACCATGGCCCAATAAAAACCACTAAGCCATTGCCCTATCAAATACTCCTTTTGTTTCTATTTGTAAAAAAAAAATATATATATATATATATATATCATGCAGTTTAAAAAACAGTTTAAATATATTAATTGTGTTTAAAAATAAAAAAAATTACACTACAATATCTTTGATTAATTGTATTAATTAAACCTTTATTTATTACTTTTTATGACTATAAATGATAAAATTATGAGGGATAATTTTAAGAGTTTATAATAAATGCATATTAGAAACATGATTTTATTTATATATAAAAAAAATAAAAGTGATAATTTCTTTCATAAATAAAAATGAAGAAAGTACATCAAACAAAATGTGGATTGTTAGATCCAAAAAACAGAAAATCAAAAACAGAATGTGGATTAGGTCTACCGTACCCAAAAAAAAAAGAAAGAAAGAAAGGGTGGACTGGTTTGTTGGCCAATAAAATTATGACAGCTAGTATTGTTTTTGCTGATGTGTTTTTTTCAACCCACCCCTGCTGACTGTACTGCAGGCTTCAAAATTTGTTCTGTTTTTGTCGGACATGAAACCCCGTAAACCTGCAAGTCTGGCGACCAGATTTCACACGTCTGAAGCTTTCTTTTTAACCTTGAGAATATGATGCCACATTACATACAAGAACAATAAAATTGAACACAATCCCCACTCATTCAGAATGTGGTACATTAAAAAGCCTAGAGTCAAATATTACAGTCACATTCCCCTCTTTATGCCTTCTGCATTTCTCAGGCAACCAAAAAAGAAAACAAGAAAAGAAAAGACCTTCTACATTTCAGTGTGCATCATGACCTTACGTTTATTTGAAACACTCTATTATACCAAATAGAGTGAAGGGTCATGTGGAAGAGATCATATTTAAGAGGCTTTGTGCGCCAGAGAAAATGTTTCTGAACCCTCCTGACCCCAAGTTGCAAACTAAGAAACTTCTCTTCTGGTATTGAATCAAGAATGTCTTTCAATCTCGGAATATCCTTCTCTGCAAGAATCACTGAGAATGCATCCCAATTCAAAACCTCAAAAAATGGTGGTACAAAGTTGTCAGATATGATCACTGGCACACACTCGTAAAATATGGCTTCAACCACCCTTGGGCTGCTTACCTCATACCCTTTTGGGCAAATGCAGTACTTGCTGTTCTTCATGTGCCGGATGTAACTCATTTTGCTGGCAACACCAGGAGGCATTCGGCCAAATATCTTCATATTGGGGTCTTTGTCCTTCCAGTGCTTTAGCAATATTGGACGCAAATAGCCATGCAAACTCCCAGCATAGAAAGCAAGAATAGGCCTTTGATCAGGTGGCCTTCCACCCAGATCTCTAAGAGGGTTTTTTGCTGACCGAACATAAGTTTCTGGGAGAGAAACATCCCTTCCTATTTTGAAGCCCTGTGTTACATCAGCAATACAGAGAGCTTTTATGCAGTATTCCATGTGGTGCCTTGTTTCATATGGAGCCTGTAAGAGAAGAGTAGTTCATGTTTTATTCATGATGGTTTCACATGAAGTAGGTTAAGAGTTGTGCATCTTTTATTCAAGAATGTGTGCTTTCATTCATGGTCTCCTTCTCCATAGAATAAGCAATCAGGTAATTTTCTATTTCATGTTTCTTGGCATCTTGGACATGGATACCAAGGAATAAGATATCAAAGTAAGGATTTTCATGCTTTGCATTACAACAATAAGTTGTCATTAGAAGGATACTATTGATCATTTATAAATGTTAACAAGCCAAAAAGAATCGGATGTAAAACCCCCATGATTATTTTGTCATCTAATGCCTCCTGTTATGCCTACTATAAATGAGCATCTTTAACAATGCCCAATAATGCATATACCGAGGTTAAAATGGTGATATGCCATATGCTTCAGAACTGTTGAGTTTTTCACTGATATGCAACCTAAAGTAGACAACTAGAGATGATGCAACTCAGCATGATGCCTTAGAACATATACTGAAAATGGTTGTGAAATCTTCCTCTCATCTATATTCTACAATAATATATACATATATAAGGTACAAAATTTATAGGAAGCCACACTATTCATATGCTATCCGTATGCTTCAAACTTCATGTAAAGCAAAGGCCAACAATCTAGTTCTTATAAAATAGACTACAATATAGTTAAGACAAATATAACTTATTGAAGTGAAAATATCAGTTGCCAATGGCAAGTTGCCTCAGCGACAACACCACCTCCTTGCAGGCATGAGGATTAGGGTTCGAAACTTGCTCTGGCACCTAGATATGTGGGTCATGTGTTTAAATTGATTACTTAAGAACAAAAAACAAAAAAAGAGAGGTGAAAATATCAGTTTGACACATTTAAGAAACAAATTTCTGCAATCACGCAAGCTAAATAAAAAAGTAAGAAAGATACAGCATACCCAATCATGACATGCGACAAGAAAATGGTCAGCTCCACTGGTTCTGTTAAAGTATGGATATTTTGCTGCAATTTTCTCTGTATAGTCCTTCAAATACTGGCGAAGATTTGTACGATTATGAGAGCTGCGCACATAAAGAGAGTGCTCTAACATACGTGAACTAAATGGCAAATAAAATAGGTGGGCCTTTGCAGGATTCTTCACTACAAAATTCTTGTTTTCTTCCATCAGCTTCATAAACCATCCCTCTGCTGCATAAAGTCCCTCGAGTATAGGTTGATGAAAGATGGGTTTGTCTCCATCCTTGTATATATAAACTTTGAGTGTGCGTTCCATGAGTTCATAGCTCCTGGAAATGCAACCAGATGTTAACCTTGGACACAGTACATCAGACATAGCTCACACAAAGAAAAAGAGAAAGAAGGAGGCATTTGAGTGAAAATAAGGCAAAACCGAATGCCATATTTGGGGAAAAAAAGTATTTAGAAAATGACATTTGATGTTTGCAAATTGAGTACTTTCACTGTCTGATTCCAATAAAAGTATGCCTCAGAATGATTGTAATTAAGTGGTGATCAGTACTTCAGAAAGTCAACACCCTTCATTCATTTGAAGGACAAACTTTCTAGAGAAAATGACAAGTAAGCATCTTGTAAGAACATTAATGTGTCAAATTAGGATTTTTCAACACTGACATTCCTAAATTTTCAGCATTCTTTCTACCATGTTTCAATACTAAAGTTTCTAATTTGGTATTAATGTTCTTACGAGGCCCTTACTTGTCATTCTCCCAACCTTTTATGTATCAATCAAAATAGACATGGATAAAGAAATATTAACATAAGCCTAACTACAAAGTTCATATTACCTTAACTCCTTCAAACTAACCTTTTAAACATGGAAACATTGCGGAAGAGAGGAGCATAAAGTTCTTTGTCATGTGCCACCGTAGAAGCGTGCATAATCTCCAACTTAGCAGCTTGGATTTCCCGGTCAAGTTTGGAGGGCCATCGCGGTTTCTGCAATCAAAATTGAACTACAGCTCACAGTAACTACTATTTTTTTCCTCAAGAAAACTACCTAAATTTGGACTATAGGACATGTTTATACCATTACACGAGACTTAGCTCGATGCTTCACTAATATCTGGTTCATCTCTTGTATTAAAGTTCTTGACTTAGGTGGCATTTCACACTTCATTTTCCTTCTCCCAAGAATACTTGTTGAAACGCCATTCTGTGAGTCAGCTGAATCATTTTGCTTCAGAGAAGAACCAGCTGACGAGTTGGAATTTGGGTGGGTCACATTATCAGGCATAGGAGACTGGAAATGAATATAAACTCCCTCAGCTTCACTTGAATCCATATTTTTGTCTTCTACCAATTGATAATTTGTATAAATATCACTTTTTGTCTTCAAAATTTGCTTTGCTGAAAGGTCATATTCACTTTTCCTGCCTAAAATTGGCATGAGATTATTCTTAATGCCAACAACATTGAACTCTGGGCTCTCATTTTTATCATCAACTTTCTTCTCAGGGAAACTATGGACGCCATTCCTATCTGTCCCAACTTCCAAAGCATCAGTAGAACTCTGTCTATCATTTTTCATTCCATTTAACCACTTTGGATAATGGGTTCCATCACTAGGAATGGAAATATGTACATTTTTCTTGATGCCAGCGAAAGCAGAAAAATTAATAGAATCTGAACCATTAATTGTTAAAGGATTCAAAGCAGTAGAAAACTTTGTAGCTGAATGTAACAATGGAAAGCTTATAAAATCATCCCTGTGCTTATGATATTCTTGCAATGAAGAAGACCAAGGAGCATTTCCAACTGTAACCAGTATTGACTGAAACAGTAGGGAGTTAACAGCCACTATTCCCAATAGATAAAGCCATCTCCCATTTCCAATATGGCACAATCGGAACATTTGAGAATATTCACTCTAGTTAGGCCAACAAAAGAAAAGACATTAACTCACAACAGATATAGCACCATAACTTCTTGATCAAGCTTCTTAAATGAGAAACAAACACCCAATCTTCCCATCATTGTGCTGCATAAGTTCCCTAGCACTGAAGTTCAGCAGAAACTCAAATTAGTAAACTAGAGGGTCATGAAATAACGGAATATTAGATACTCCGTAAACCGATTACAGAATAACAGTGGGTACGAAAGAAAGCACGAAACTGAACGGAAAATACGAAAAGAAACATTTGGGGGTGAAAAGTTCCACTTGTTCTTACCAGGCACCTGAGCAAATCAGCTAGGATGACTAACAATTTATGCTTGTGTGTGAGAGTGAGTGAGAAAAACGACTGTATCATTCCCAAGCATTCATAAGTTAAGAATAATAAAGCAGAAATTGTACTTGTTTGGTTTCTGCCAAAAGCGAAAGAAACAAGTTAGAACAGCAGAGTACTCACCCAGCCGTGGAGCAGAGTGAAACTTGAAGCTGGATCTTCTTTCGAACTCTCCAATGAACCAAGCAGAGTAACCATCATGCAGTTGCAGAACAGATCAAAGTATCAAGCTAACTTCCATCGTTCCATCGAAGCGTCTTGTTTTTTGTTTTTAACAATTACTTTAAAGCAAAAAAATTGCTAATTTTGTTTACATTCCCTATCTAAGTAATTGTCGATGACCGTCCAGAGTCTGAGGTCGCCTCGTGCGGTCAATAGTGACTGTCGAAGAGAAGGTCCTCCCCACGACGTCGTTTCCTCTGTAGACGGAGCATTGCCAATTTCAAGATTATCGTTCTTGTACGTTATATTAACCAAATTGCCCAAAATCCAAATTTCCTGCAAAATGCTTGAAACTTCCAACGCATCTAGGATTCTGTTTGTCTTGTCACTTCGGTCTGGGGGAAAATAACTCATGCAGAGAACATGAATTAGTAGATAGGAAAAGATTATAGATTTATAAAATAAAATAAAAAAGAAATGTTAAAAAAAATTGTAAGTGAATGGATTACATTTTAAAGTCCGCTACCTTGTGAGATAAGGAAAATCCCTTGGAGTTGGCATTTATCTCAATTTTGAATGTTCTTGTTTTATGTAGGGTTTATAGATTTGAGTTGGTTTAATGTTGTGAAAAAATTAAACCGAACCAAATTAATCAATTCACTAAAATTTACTTGTTTGATTTTTTTTTAAACGATTTGATTTGTTTCTGAACAGTTTAATTCGATTTAGTTTATGTTTAGATTAAGTTTAAAACTTTTTTATGAGATAATCTTCATAATCATTAATATATATTCATATTCACTTATATTTTTAACTATTAATTATTATTATTATTATTATTATTATTATTATTATTATTATTATTTATAAAAAAAATTTCTTAGGTACAAAAAAAATTCTGTTTAACTATAATAAAATTTGGCTCGGTTTGTTCAAATTTCCAAAAGAAAAATCTGAATTGAATCAAATCAATTAAGTTTGTTAAAAGAAAAAATAAATCAAACTAAATCTCATTTATAATCAATTTTAATTATTTCATATTAGTTTTTAATTATTTCATATTAGTTTAGTTTGGTTTAGTTTGGTGAAATTAATTTAAATTTACCTTGCTCGATATCTAGCTTGAAAGATGAACTGATTGCATTTTGTAGCTCACTGCTTACCCTTGCTTGCGAGATGTCCAAGATTTCGGGTTGGGTTGAGAGCGTTGAGTAATATCATCTGTCCTGCTAATGATGATATTGGGGGGCGGGGGGGGGGGGGAACTAAAGAAACTTTGTATATTTCAAATGAAGCCGAATAAAATTCATATAAACAAGCCGAAGAAATACCAACATCCTTTCTACATAAATGATTCCATCAAATTAGATCAATACTTAATAAACATCATTTTAATTTAATCAAGAGAAGACTGACATCATATCATTATCCATAATTAAACTATTATAAATATACAATAACAGCACTATAGAAATCAAATTCTCATTCCCATAGTAAGTTAAGAACAAATCATAGCAGTCAACTTGATAGATAACATCTTTGCGTACAAGAACAAGCCTTTCATAATTCATGCACAAGAAATTGGTCCAATCTTAACTTTTCATCATGATCTAAATCATTCGTTCAATCATCCATCTCTCAACAATGTTTCCATTCATATTTTTTTTAAAAAAAGTTGTAAATTATGATTTATGATAGAATTTTAAATAAATGCTAGAAACTCATTATTTTTCTTAATAAAAAATGTGATGATTCTATATTAATATAAATTAAAAATAAAAATTAAACCTCCTCTCTCAGTTCCTTAAAAAACATGTGCATGTTTTGTGTGGGGGTGGGCGTTTTTTGAGGACTAAATACCTTTCTTGAGGCTGACTCTAACATGTCCAAAATATTTATTTTTTTTTTTTGGTAGGGTTCTGTATACTAGACAACTGAGCTAATGAATATTCCTTATTTTAGCTATAAATCTTAAGAGCTAGAATTGTAAATATTGGAGGATTTTTTTTTTTTTGCCCAAGAAAATATTAGAGGATTAGTTGTAAATTACAAAAGTCTTGTAAATATCAGACACAACTAAAAAAATTGTAAAATCAATGTTAAGTTCTCAAACGGTTATTTCAACAAAGCTTTCACAATTTGGAGCTATGAATTTCACTTTTTTAACTAGGCTTTCAAATTTTCAAATCTTCTACCAGTCTGTAATTGATTTGTAATTAATCTTTTGATTTTTACAACTGAGATTCTAGGATTTATAAATAAATTTCGTAATTTATAGAGTTTTTAAAATTTAGTATCTACAACTAATTTTTTGATTTTTACATCTGAAATTCTAAGATTTATGATTAAGTTTTCAAAATTTACTACAAAGTGATGGGATAGGATATTTTTGTCCATTTATTTTTTAAACCTTGGTTCTTCCAAGTCATATCAATTAATTGGATTAGATGGTATTGTTGGGTCTAATCTAACCGTATACATAGCTTGTTGGTATATATTTTTTATTTCCTTTGCTTGGTGTTTCGTTGGGGCAACTCCAAGTAGAAAGTGTATTCAGAAGCAACAATTAATTCTCATTATACATCTTTAGGTCTTGATTTTACTTTCAACCAGGAGCTGAGTTTTAAATAATCTTGTTAGACATGATTAAACCAAGATTAAAATCATATGAAGTCCAATCATGTTACCCAACAATCCAAGAAAGCATGCAACAGAGCAACTCAATAACAAAGCTATGAGTTTACAAGTGACCCAGCTTGTAAGAACTGTTATATATACATGAGTTAGGAATAGGATTTGTCTTTAACAGCCACTGACCACATCAATAAAACCACAATTAGATAGATTATATGCAACAGTCTGAACCCAGATGACTATTTCAGAGAATGCAGTCTCAATGCCGAGCTTTTCTGGATAGTTGTTTCCGAGCATCATATTGCTCATATATCATGCTAATTTTCTCCACTAAATCAAGCTTCTTTCACTGCAAAGATATCATTATTGCTTGGGGCTGATCTGAGAAACTCTAGTGTACCACACTGAGTGAAGAATCATATGAAATAAAGACTTTTGTGCCACTGGAAATGCTTCTGCACCTTCTTTACTCCTAACTGCAATTTCTGGTACTTCTCTTCTGTTACTGAGAGAAGTATGTTTCTTAGATGAGGGATATCTTTTTCTTCAACAAATAGAGCAAATTCTTCCCATTTCAATACCTCAAAGAAAGGAGGCACATAGTTATCTGATACGATCACTGGCACACATTCAAACATAATGGCCTCCACAATTCTTGGGGTGTGAACCTCATAGCCTCTAGCACATATGCAATACTTGCTACTTTTCATTTATTCCCTATAAGTTCTTTTACCTTCCAAATCGCGTGGCATTGGGCCAAGAATTTTCATGTCTGGTATTTTATTCTGCCAGTGTTTTAGTAGGATTTCTCGGAGGTAACCATGCAAGCCTCCAGCAAAAAAGGCAAGAATAGGCCTTTCTGAAGGAGGCTTTTCTCCAATACCTCTTACTGGATCCATCATAGAATGTACATATGTAACAGGTAGAGTTGTGTCCTTGCCTATCTTGAATCCTTGAGCAATATTAGCATTGCAAAGAGACCTAATGCAATTTTGCATTAGCCGCCTTGTGATCCGGGAGGCCTGCATTTTCATCCATCTCATTAAATCAATGCAGAAAAAACTTAATTTGCAGAAGATCCAGGTTCAAAAACATGAACGACAAAATTCAAGTGATTAACACATAAACAAGAGTCCAGGTCAGAGACCATCATTTTCTTCTAACCAGATATAAAGCTTTCAATGCTAATTTTTTCCTGCCAAAATACTCTCTGTGCTAATTTTTTCCTGCCAAAATACTCTTTGTGCTAATTTTTTCCTGCCAAAATACTCTTTGAATATAACTACTGAGACAAACAATAGGTTAATAGAAACATTAGAATTTTTTAATACATATATACATGAGAACAATGAAATCACTACTGTATGATAAATTTTAGTATTTTGGCCCCCTTGGTTTGAGTATGATCAGGACAATGGTATGGCAACCATGCTATGATCTGATCAAAGTTCTGAATCAATACATGCTCTAGATTTATGAATAATTCCTAAACAATGGTCCTTTTTTCTTTTGCTTAAGCTAACAAATAGAAAGAACTTCAAATAATATCATCCAGCAATAAAGTAATAATGTACATGAATGAGAGTGATGTCCGGAGACGGAAGAGCATACCCAATCATGACAAGCAACAAAAAAATGGTCTGCTCCCTCAGTTCTGTTCCAGAAACGATATTTCTTGGCAATTAATTCCACATATCTTTCAAGGTATTGCTCCATCCGCCTAATTTGGAAGTTTTGTCCAGAAAGATTAGTCCTTAGCATTTGTGTACTGAATGGTAGGTAAAACAAATGAGCTTTCTGAGGATCTCTCGCAATGAAACTTTTATTTGCCTTCATCAATTTCATGAACCACCCTTCTGAAGCATAAAGTCCTCTTATCTTTGGTTGATGAAATATAGGTTTTTCTCCTTCTTTATATATATACACTTTAAGTTTGCGCTCCATCAATTCATAGCTCCTGAAGGACACAAACCCAAAAAAATGATTCAAATCAGTGAAATATTACAGATACAGGCTCCCTACTGAAAGAAGACCCGCATATCCAGGCCAATAAATAGAAAGACGTCACAAACTGGTACAGAAAGTCATGCTATTGATATTTTGAATATTTAAATTTGTAGGATTAAAACTATAGAATTGCTGATATATGTCAGAAATTCGGAAGTTCAACCAAGATAACCATTAGTAACACTAGCACCAAATGAATACAAGATGGCATACTCATAGAGTAAAGAAAGGAAAGAGAATAATTTACTTTGCAGTGCTTTATATCTTGCATATTGATCAATTGCCAGGCTACCTTATAAACTTGGAAACGTTTTGAAAAATAGGTGCATAGAGCCCCGGAGCATTTGATATTACAGGGGCATTCTCAATATCTTGTTTTGCAGTTAATAGTTCACGGTCATGTTGAGATGACCACCTTGGCCTCTGTCGGCAATTGCATGATATGTGAACATCAGGATCCTGTGTAGAACTGAAAATTGCTTAAATGGGAAGAATTAAAGCTCAAATTCATACCATAGATGAAGGAGAATTGTAAGTCTGAAGCAATAAAGAGTTCATCTGTGATATTGATGTTGGCTGCACCAACTTATTCCTTATGGATAGAATACCCATCTTAGACTGCAAAGTAGATCTTGACAGCTCAGTCTTTTCATTCTTGTGTTCCATTTTCACCATACTTTGCATTCCACTTCTGGTCCGAGAGATAAGGAGTCTTGGTGGTGGAATAATAGTGTACAGGACAAAATCAAGTATAAGAAGAACTGTTTTAAAGCCATACATTTGTGTAACAATGAAAAAAATTGGAAGAGGTACCGTATGGCTAAGAAGGAAACTAAGAGAGCTGTGGGTGAAGCTCGTTCTAAAGCTTTTGAAGAATTTTATAAGAGCCTTAAGACGAAGGAAGGAGAGCGAAATATTTATAAGATTGCCAAGAGTAGGGAAAGAAAATCAAGAGATCTAGAACAGGTAAGGTGTATTAAGGATGAAGAAGGAAGAATTTTAATTACAGATGATGAAATTAAAAATAGATGGGAGACTTACTTTTCTAAACTTTTCAATGATGGAGAGGATTCATCTAGTAACTTGGAGGATTTAGTAACTGGTGAAGGGGAACAAAATTTGTCATTCTATCGAATAATACGTGATAAGGAGGTAAAGGAAGCTCTTAAGAAAATGACAAATGGTAGAGCCAACGGACCTGATTGTATATCTATTGAAGCGTGAAAATATTTAGGTGAAGAAGGGGTGAGATGGTTAACTAAGTTATTTAATGTGATTTTACGGTCCAAGAAAATGCCTGATGAGTGGAGGAGAAGTACATTAATTCCTATTTATACAAATAAAGGAAATATTCAGAATTGTACTAACTATAGAGGGATTAAACTCATGAGCCACACAATGAAATTGTGGGAGAAAGTAATTGAGCACAAGTTGAGATTGGAGACAAGTATTTCTGAGAATCAATTTGGTTTTATACCAGGTAGATCAACTACAGAGGCGATTTATCTACTAAGGGGATTAATAAAAAAGTATCGTTGTGAAAATAAAAATCTACACATGGTTTTTATTGATTTGGAAAAAGCTTATGACCGTATACCAAGAGAAGTGCTTTGGAAAGTGTTGGAAAAAAAGGGAGTACGAATTACTTATATTAAAGCCATGCAAGATATGTATGAGGGGGTAAAAAGTAGTATAAGAACGCCTAGTGGTCAAACAAAGGATTTTCCTATAAAGATTGGACTACATCAGGGATCATCTCTGAGTCCTTATTTGTTCAACTTATCTTAAATGTTTTGACGGAATAAATTCAAGGGGAAATTTTGAAATGTATGCTCTTCGCGGATGATATAGTTCTTATAGCAGAGACAAAAGAAGAGGTTAATTGCAAACTTGAATTATGGAGGAGGACATTGGAGTCGAAAGGTTTTCGTTTGAGTAGAAGTAAGACGGAATATTTATATTGTAAATTTAGTAAAGGACTATTCAACAATAATTTGGAAGTGAAATTGGGAGATCAAATTATACCTCAAGTGGAAAAGTTTAGATATTTGGGAGCCATTATTCAAAATGATGGCGAAATCAGTGGAGATATTTCACATAGAATTCAAGCTGGGTGGTTTAATTGGAGAAAAGCTAAAGGAGTTATTTGTGACCGTAAGGTGCCTAATAAACTTAAAGGAAAGTTTTATCGCACTGCTATCAAACCGGCAATGTTATATAGTAATGAATGCTGGGCTCTAACGGGATAGCAAGAGCATAAAGTTGGAGTAGTAGAGATAAGAATGTTACGATGGATGTGCAGACATACACGTAAAGATAAAATTCAAAATGAGCACGTACGCGAAAAAGTGAGGATGGCACCTATTGAGGAAAAAATGGTAGAAAATCGGTTGAGATGATTTAGGCATGTACAAAGAAGACCAAGGGAGGCACCAGTGAAAAGAGTGGAATATATAACTTTGAGTCCAATTAAGAGAGGTAGAGGAAGGCCTAAGAGAACACTTTTGGAAGTTGTTGAACGCGATCTCTTAATTAATAATATTCCTAAAAGCTTGATAAATGATAGAGCACAATGGCGTCTTGCAATCCATGTAGCCGACCTCACCTAGTGGGATAAAGGCTTGTTGTTGTTGTTGTTTTGCATTCTACTTCCATTTGAAGATATGTTGGCAGTAGATAATAGAGCGGACAAGTTTACACCTGCATTCGTAAATTTGATACCCTCTGAAGGAACTTCCCTTGATATAACTTGCATGTTATTCACCTGCCTTTGAGGGTTACCAAATACTAATTTGCTGTGTGCTTCAGAAGCCAAGAGCACTTTGCTGATGTTATCAATTGATCTAGTCTGCCCTGTGAGACCATGTGCATGCGTGGGTCCCTTTTGAGTGGAATTGTAATTTGAATATTCAGTATCTTCCACTTTAAAACTCCTATCAAGCACGTCACGTTTCTCCAAAATGAACTTCTTTCTTGAGTTCCTTTCCACATCAAGTACCAATGCATAGTCTAGAGCATCTTCTTTCGAACTAGAACCATGACTAACTTTAGGCAAGGAACTGATTCTAGTTGATTTAGACATATCCCCTCTTCTCGTTGCAGGGATTGCAAATTCAACAGGTGGTTCTTTTGAAGGTCTATGAAAATGCGGTATAGAAAATGTTGTCCAGAAGGGAAATGTAAAACATTGTGAAATAACCAGTATAGCAATTAAAATGCAAAGCAATCTAATCTTCCCCTGAAACCACCTCTGAGCTAAAGCAGAAGCACTCATTTCACGTAAAATGTAACCAGTCACTTCAAGCACACTTGAATGGCTCCATACTAGAAATCCATCATCACAACGGCTTTAAATTTCAATGTCAAGTACTGAAAAGTAAGACAGAGACCAAAAAAAACAAAAAAACAAAAAAGAGTATACCAGATGAAGGATGATCAAATAAAATCAGTTCATTGATTTAACTTAGAAGAGCATTAAACCAGAGAGAGAGAGAGATCAGAACATTAAACCAGTACTCACCCATGAATTACGATACACAGCAAGCTAGTCATGATCGCATGTAGTAGACAGGAAATGAAAGAACTTCAGTGTCACTTTGAACCGAAATTGGAAGAAACCTCCTCTGCTTGCTATGGAACACTACTGCTCTCTTTCTTTCTTTCTTTCCTTTTTAGTTACAGAAAACAAGATCAGATTCAGAAAGTGTCAGACTTGTAGCCACCAATAATTGGGATATCTTTGTTTCTCTGTTAAACGTCCAGTTAAAGATTAAGAACTTATCATGACTTAACACCACTCAATATCCCTGGCCATATGCCAAACGTTAGCTTCAATTTTATTTTAAAACAAATTATGCATTATCATGAAGCTAACCCAAGAAATAGCTCATTTGAAATGATAACGACATATTACAATATCAAAAACCTAAAATTACGATGAATTATTGCATCCATAAGACAAACGGCATGAATAATATAGGATTTCAATATGCATAAGCCAAGATCCAGTTAACATTCATTAATTAGTAACAGCTCTAGGTTCCTTTAGAGTTCACGTAGCATCAAATCGTCTAGTTATTGCACTCCAACAGTTTCCCACGGCATCCTGATTTGTAAGTCTAATATCTTAGATTATAAATTTTGATTGTACGTCTACTGCTTGTTATCCCCAATTCGTCCTTAGAGATATGCGCTGTTTTCCTTGTTCAAGATGCATGTGAGGTAGCTATACCTAAACAGTTCAACCTACAGTAGACTCGAAAATAAGGGTCAGGCTTGACAGGCCGCCCGTTTAAGCCCGTTTTAATAAGGATTCAGGCTTAAAAATTTGATATTTTTTGGGGTAACCAGGCTTCGAAGCCCAGCCCTTTTAAGCCCTAGGAAAATGGGCTCAGGCCCGGGCGGCCTGTGAAGCCCGTTTTACTATTCACAAAGTATTGTTTTCACCTCTTTTCAGATAATATGCAAACATTGATTGGGTGAATTATTTTGTGCCATTTTATGGTAATTTTTATATTTTATCTTGTGATATATGTATAGATATATATTTGATAATAAAAAAATTTAATTAATAATTATTGTATGTGATGATGAAGAAGCTACAGAAATAATTAATATTGAACCTTCGCCTCCATCTTCCACAAGTGGACCTACATTTGAGGGTTTTAATATTTTATTTATGGATGATAATAAGAAAGATCTTGATTAGGATTGATGATGATGTTTTTCTTCATCTTATTTAGACTTTTAAATTTTTTGTTTATTTTTTAAATTATGTGAGATTTTGGTTTAATATATGTTGAATTTTAAAATATTCACAATAAATTTTAATGTTGAATTTTATTTTATTCTTATTCGGGCTTACTGGCCAGGCCCTGAGCCCTATGAATAAGGGCCGGGCTTCAATTTTAGAGTAAAATTAATGTAATTGGGCTTTAGGGCCTAGGCTTATAAGGGCCGGGTCCATAAGAGCCGAGCCCATATGGGCTAAGCCCACCCGTTTACCAACTCTAGCCTACAGTATACAACTAAAGATTCCAGTCATGGGCATTGTCACACAGTGAAACGCCAGTAACAAAGACAACGATGAATAAGAAGATAGGTCCATATAGAACAATACAATGCATAAAATGTTGAAACTGAAACTCAAGACCACGACAAACTGATAATGCAAAAGTAAGGTTCCGTCGACTTCTCCAGGTAAAATGGAGAAGAAAACACCATACCCTCGACCATTGCGAATAACGGTAAGTGACCTCTGTCGCCGTCCAAAGCTCAGTCAACCGCCGTCAACAGAGCACTCTTCGCAAAATGCTTCTTCTCGCAGCACAGTGGCTGGCCTAGGTTGGAAAAAGGACTTTTACTGGTGAGAAGGAGAGAGGAGTTACTTCTTCTAACACTACTGCTCACTTAGAGCACAGAAATGAAATACAGATTTGAAATTTCATAAGGAATTACGAAGAGAAAATACCCGAAAGGGACTTCCATGTGCACCTTCAGCTAGCAACGAAGCCACTACGCTCCTTCTTTCGTCACTTTCTGGGTCACTGAAGCGAGTCGAACCAAGCAGAATATGAAAATGAGTAAATGACCCCAGTATTTCAGATACTTTTGATGGGTTGGGCACTACTTTACAGGAGTTGGATTACCGTCAAAATGGATTTGAGAGTGATAATAAAAGGGACATAAAGTTCATAGTTGACACAATAATAGATCTCTTGATAATGTTGGAGTGAAACAATTATTTGAGTATAATAAAAGAACTACTCACGTGTAAGTTACTAGAGAAGTTGCACTTGAAGATGATCCTCGTGAGCTTGTTGTTTATCTGCACAAACTTTAACTTGTATATTTTACTTAAGCTTATAAATCAACTGGACATGCATGAAAATTGTATTAAAAATTCATGGATTGTATTTTGTACATCCATAGACTTTTTGTTGTTCATCTGTACAACTTTAACTTGTACATTTTACTTAAGCCTATAAGTTACTTAAGCCTATAAGTCAATTGCACACGCATGAAAACTGTTTTGAGAATTCATAGATTGTGTTTTGTACATCCATAGACTTTATATTGTTTACCTATGCAACTTTAACTTGTACATTTTATTTAAGCCTACAAATCAACTAGACACGCATGAAAATTGTGTTGTAAATTGATGGACCGTGTTTTGTGCATTCATGGACTTTTTGTTATTCATCTACTCAACTTTAACAAGTTCACAGTTTTACAACGTAATTTTCACATATTAACAAGTAAATATCTTTTAGTAGTAAAATTTTTATTCAAAGTTGATAAGTTATTAGCCAATATCACAAATTTATAACTTAAAGTTCACTTACTCACAATTATATGTTATTAGATTCACAACTAAAGGTCCAAAATTTCTAATTGCAAATAATCAGCTAAAATGTTCAGTGACAAGAAGTTTCAAATTTTACAACTAGAAGTTCACAGTTTCATAGTGTTGGGTTCACATATTAACAAGTAAATGTCTATTGTAGTGAAATTCTTGTTCAAAGGCGACAAGTTGTTGGTCAAAATAAGAAATTGAGCTAACTTCGTGAGTTGTTGATCAATAATTACCCAAGTAGAATCACGCCCTGATGAACCAAGCAGTTGTACGCTTAGCAATTTAAATTAGATTAACTAATTATATAGTATAGTGGCAACTTAGGTCAATTCCTTAAGAGGTGTAAAGATTAAATTTAGAGCTTCCTAATGTAGTTAAATTAAAATAAGAAGTTCCAAGAGTTGATTGATTTTAATTGATTAAAATAAAATACTAATTAACCTAATTAAAGCCTAAAGACCTAAACTAGTGAGTTTGTGAAAGTGGAATGGAATAAGGTACTTGAAATTGAATTAATGCTCAAATCATAACTATTTATGAAATATGAATTAATCACCCTTAATTCTTCTCTTCCTAATTAAATCATGAAGCCATTAGGATAATTCTCTCTAGCAACTTAACCCACTAGGGACCTTAATTAAGCTTATAATTCTAGAGCCCAATTCAATTTTCTAATTTAGTTTTAGGCCTAAGTTAGGTGATTAATGGTAAATTTTGGCAAGTATGATAATCCCTTTACACCCCCAAATGACTCCCAAAATTATGATGGATCATAAGCAAGCTCAACAAACACTCCCAAGATTATGATAAAGCATGAGCTAGGTTAAAACACTCAAAAACATTCAAAATTATGACACATACAAGAGTGGATGAAATATATAGCTCAACATACCAAATGAAGTTTAACAATAATCAAGTTAATCTCCATACAAAAATATCAACCATGATTATGGTTGTAAAGCCAACACATAGTAATCCAAAATTATAGTCTTACAAGTTTATTAATAGAGAAAAATTAACAAAAATAAAATAAAATGGTTACAAAATTGAAGATCAAATGGTTCATTGAGCTTCCATCCTCCTCCAAGCACCCAAAATAATTTAACATTCAAAGTTCTTCAAGTTCTCCATAAAAAGCTCAAGTTGGCCACACTCTTCCATGGAACCAAGTAGAGAATAAAGCATGAAATGGATGATCAAGTGGTAGGGATGTGTAAAGGGGAGTGTGCGGAGAAGAATGGGAGTGATTTGGTGATGATCTAATGGTTAGATAAAGAGAAATGGATGAGAGAAGAGGGCTACCATGGCTGAAATTTGAGCGAAAATGTAAATGAGTGCGTGGTGGCTAGGGTTAATGTTTTAGGTGAAAAATGGCTGAGAGGGGTGTGCATTCCAGCTACTTAAAGGTTGAGGTACACACTTCCTACATGCTCAAACAAGTGGCTTTTTCTTATTGGCTTAGAGGGAATATTCTAAGTAAGAATATTCTAACTTATTTCATCAATTAATCAGATTATTATCTCCCTTTTCAACCCTAAAAGTGATGCCACTAATGCCTAATTTAGCCCTCTTTCATGATTATTGACCAGTTGCAAAAGTCCAAGTCCATATGTGCCACCTAAGTCACAAAATAAACATAAAATCAAAATCAAATATTTATGTGACCTAATAATTAAATTCTTGCATGTGAAATTAATTAATTATCATGGAAGAATATTAATAAATTAAAATTCAAGGGTAATGACATGTGCAAACTCATGCATGCACATAAAACCTTAATTTGTTCAAAAAAGTCAATAACCCCAAAATGTAATTTTTATTTTATAAATCCCAAACCAAATTAAATTTTTTAAAAACAAACTTCATATTCATTCTTCTAGGTATAAAACACATGAAACACAAAATTAACTCAATTTGTCATAAAAGTGCAATTTTGGACCAAAATACATTTAGTGCACAATTTTGCCCCTTAAGTGATTTTCTTACTTTTGACACCATGAATTCACCAAAATGAGGAATATTATAACCTATCCCAATATCCACCTAACATTAGGAGGGGTTAACTTAATCACCACAATCACATAACCAAACTATATTCTAATACTTTGTTTAAACAGCTTGGGCCCAAGACTCAATTTTCAAAATTATTAAAATCCTTAACATATCAGAATATGACATAGTGGAAACTAAATGTATGTATTTATTATACTCATTGCATGCCATAAACCGCATTATAAAGTTAGAAACTGAGCTATGCACCACAGCATGTGGCACAAAGCAACGAGCAGCTCCTCTCTGTATCATGCGCCATGGCACACATGATAGTTTCTGCAGCTATCATATGATAGTTTGCAAGATGAACTTTTGACATGCTCCATTTCCATAAACGGTGTTTGATCAAAGTGATTTAAGTGCCCACACGAAGCTTATTTCATAAGCTAACTAATGAGATAGGTTTGAATACAATCTAATGGTTTGATCAAAATTTGAACACCCAGGTGCAAAAAGTTAACTTTTTTAAAAAAAAACTTAGCACACCCAAGCGATCAAATCAATCACATTGTCTTATTAAATCATTTTAAGCCTTGAACCAAGTCTAAAAGAACCTTATGCACCTGATTGACCAAATTTTATTACATATATACACAGATCAAGATTTGGCCATTCAATAGCCTAGTTCCACATTTCACAACATTACATCAAACACATTAGTTTGGTTATATTTCCACAATTCTCATGTCTTCACATTCACAATATATTCACCACAAATTCACAACTAAATCTTAGCCTTTGTTTCTCATTTCACCACACATACACACGTATAGGCTAAGTTTTACTAAAACTCATAATAATTCTCAACAATCATAACTTTAAAAATGCATGCATATCCTACAGCAACTTATATACATAATATTCACAAGAGTCGTGTTCGTTATACAAAATTCAGAGATTTCACAACAACCACACATTATACCGGTCCTAACTCTTTCAATTTGCCTTATTCACCACTATGACCTGTAAAAATGTAACTACGAGGTGAGATAATAATCTAGGTAACAAAATAACTCTCTACTACCGACTATCACAAGCAACCGTAAGCAAGTATTACATAATATACATTTAAACATAACATATAACAAAGGTTTTATTTTAAATTACTATGTTAATTTCATAAGTCACCACTTTCACCATGTAAAGTCCCAACTAAATCCAAACTTTAGCATTCTTACATACACAATCATCTAACAACAATCACATAATATTAGAGTAATAGCCCTTAAATTTTTTTAAAAATATGGGATCCTGACTTCATATAATATGTTCAAAAAAGAAGGCTAACAAAAGCGCAAACATAATTCTATGACTCAATGAAACATAATGTTTTTCCCTTAAAAAAGTGCCATGCGCTGCGACTCACACCATCATACACCGTAGCATGAGGTATAGAGCCATAACTTTATTCTTCTCTGTGCCATACACCACAGCATAGCACACAATGTGCCATGACGCATGTGACAATAACTTTTGCTGTCATATGGCAGTTTAGAAGACAAACTTTTGTTGCTCTTCATTTCTACATCGATGTTCGATTAGAGTGATTAAAGTGCTCACACAAAGCTTATAACTTAATCTATTTAATGAGACAAGTTTAGACTTGATCTAATGGTCTAATCTAAAATTAGACACTCGGGTAGAAAAAGCTACTTTTCTTTCAAAAACTTGCACCCTAAGTGCTCAATTCTCATTCCTTATCCCATTAAACCACCTTATGTAACATCCTCACTTTTTAAATCAGATTAATTAAGCCCAATTAGATTAATTAAGTGTATTAACAAGGTATGTGGCCAGAGAAGTCTAATAGGCATGTGTAGTTTTAACCTTAAATGCAGGTCTGAAGGAGAATTGGGTCACCCGGGAATGAAAGAGAAAGAAATTCTTAAAGGGGAGGTTATGTGCCACGAGCATGGCTTGTGGATAAGCCATCATGGTACATGTGTGGCAACACGCCTGAGAGATGCTTTCTATGCCATGAGCGTGGCGCATTATGCATCCATTACGGTGTACGGTCACATTTTTGCTGTAATAAGATCACAAAATTGGTACAACAAAGGAGACAAAAACAAAATATACTTAGGAGGGATGAAAATGCTCTACTAGGGCTTGGAGAATCTAAGTATTGAGAGTATTTTAGAGCTCCTAAACATTAAGGTAAGCTTCCTACACCTAAATCCTTCTCTCTTATTCTATTTTCTTAGCTGTAGAAGTTAGGGTTTGGTTAATTATGGTAAGTTTCGATCCATATAGGC